AACAACAACAAAACAGCCGGGCGTTGTGGCAGGCACTTGTAGTCCCAGCTACTTGGGAGGCTGAGGCAAGAGAATCACTTAAGCCCAAGAGTTTGAGGTTGCTTTGAGCTGTGATGCTATGACATTCTATCCAGGGCGACAGCTTGAGACTCTGTCTCAAAAAAAATAAATAAATAAAAATAAAGTTATCTTTTCTACTAGAGATATATCAATTGCTTTTCTATACAATGAAAAACATTTCCATTGCCATAGTCAGGAATAAATTTTCTTCGCCTTAAGACAAAAGTCATTTGGGCAGTGCCTGTGGCTCAAAAGAGTAAGGCGCCAGCCCTATATGCCAGAGGTGGCAGGTTCAAACCCAGCCCCAGCCAAAAACCACCAAAAAAAAAGACAGAAGTCATCTGCATTACTACAAGTATTTTCTTCCTTTCTTCCTTTCTTTTTCTTTCTTTCTTTCTCTCTCTCTTGCTCTCTTTCCTTTTTTTCCTTTCAGACAGAGTCTCACTCTGTCTCTTTGTCACCCTGGGTAGAGTGTCATGGCGTCATCCCTGACAAATTATTGGGCTCAAGCAATCCTTTTGCCTCAGCCTCCAGAGTAGCTGAAACTATAGGCATCTGCCATAATGTCCTGCTAGTTTTTTCTATTTTTAGTAGAGATGGGCTCTCGCTCTTGCTCAGGCTGGTCTCCTGAGCTCAAGCAATTCACTGGCCTTGGCTCCCCAGAATGGTAGGATTATAGACTTGAGACACTGTGCCCAGCCTCTATTAGTTTTCTACAAATTATCCTCTATCCTTCACAGTTGTAGAATAAATTCAAAGATAACATTTGAAAGAGTGTATAGCTAGGAGTGGCGGCTCACACCTGTAATCCTAGCACTCTGGGAGGCTGGGGCAGGTGGATTGCTTGAGGTCAGGAGTTCAAGACCAGCCTGAGCAAGAGTGACACCTGTCTCTAAAAATAGCTGGGCATTGTGGCAGGTGCCTGTAGTCCCAGCTACTCAAGAGCCAGAGGCAAGACGATTGCTTGAACCCCAAAATTTGAGTTGGCTGTGAGCCACAATGCCCTGGCACTCTACCAAGGGTATAATTATGGCTTAATACAAATATAAAATGTCAAAGATTTAATTAAATTAATTAATGATGGAATCAGTATGATCTTATAACCAGATCAAAAGAAAAATAAAAGTACCATACATATATAATCAAATAAGGAAAGCTGAAATGAATTATAAATTGATCGAAAATGGGTCAATCTCCATAGGATAATAATTAGCTACATTCCACCTCACACAATTTACATCTCTATGGACAAGAATAATTTGCATTACTTATAGTTTTCTACAACTTACAGAGTTGTAAAACAGATAAAGATAATGGAAAGCATAGAGCCCTCCTAGAGTTAAATGACCTGGCAGGATGTGCTAGACAACCTGTTTCCAGGAAGGTATTTACTAATCTTTAGTTCACTTCAACGTCTTGGTTCCCACCCTTATAGAATCAGGTAACCCTTAAGGGTCTATTGTACAATGCCTGCCTGACACTGCACTGAAAGAAGACCCAGTTATCCTTTTTTGCCTATTTCCAAGTTTGG